ACGAAAACCTTAACAGGAGCTGGGAAGTGGCACCTTCCTTGTTAAAACTTGATCATAATAAAAAAAACTTCGGTTGACAACCGGCTTGCTTAGTGTGACACTATGTCAATTATCGCCCTATGAGTATCCTTTTTAAAGGATGTCATAAATGAATGAAAAATATAAGAGTATTTCAGGAAAGAAGACGCGTAGCCGCACTCTTCATGAAATTTGTAGATTGCTGTCTAGTTTCATACATTATATTTTAGTTTGCATATATCCACGGGACTTCCTTCGTGAGAATATTCTAGTTTAAGCTTAAGACTAATAACTATGAAATGGTTTTAAACCCCAGACGAAAAAGAGGGGTGTTATATGTTTGTAGTGTGAATTTGTGTATGTGTTTCTGTCTGTGGTGTCGTAGCTCCCAAATGGAGGAACGACATGAATGGATCAATGGATGTTGGAAAGGTGACTTGGTCGAGAGCGTTCTTAGCTACGATTCCAGAAAATTTTCACAGTCGTTTGGAGATCATCAGCCTACTTGCTTCGGCGGTTTTTAAAATTTATTTTATTGCAATAAGATGGTACATGTGGACAGGAAGCTTAATAAATAAAGGCACATCAATTTCTTTCTTGTATAATTGGACAAACATCCCGTCCACAGAAAGTTAAAGTTACAGCCTATATACGTCCCACTGCTGGGCAAGGGCCTCCACTCATTTCTGAGGGTTTTAGGGCAATGAATTGTTCGCCGCGCTGCCCCAATGCGTGTTGGCGTACTTCACATGTCTTCGAAATATAATTTTTTTCTTATTTCTCTGACATGTGGGTTTCCTCACGATGTTTTCCTTCACCGCCGAGTACGTGGTAAATCAGCATTTAAAATTGCAATTAACAATTTCAATGGTGTCGGCGGGGATCGAACCCGGTTTGCTCGCGTACTGTGAAATTTATAGCGAGCGCTAACCATCTGAGCTACCACGGCTCAGAAAAACAGGACATATTTCACAAGGAAACAAAATCACCAAATATCTTTGCAAATACCCTAAGCATTCACCTAAATCCTGAATTTCCAATGCGATTTTCTTACAGAATTTCCTTAATCTCCGGGGATTTGTCCTAAATTGTTTTTGTTACTTGAGGGTTTTATTCCTTTGTCGCTTATTGTTAAAAGACTATAAAATAATGGGTGTTCAAGGCTAAGAGTCCTTTTGTGTATGAAGATACGCACATTTTTATGTGTTTTTATAAAATAGGTATGAATGTGTGCATAAATGTTTAAAGATAGATCTCCGTGGAATTGAGATCCATGAAATTATGCTTCCACATTAACCCCTAATTTATCAAATATTAAAGTCATTATTTACAGCCTATCAAAATCCACCGCTGAGCATAGACTCCCCCCATCGATTGCCTCATGTGCTGGTTGGCAACGGCAGTTATATTTTTATAGTTGTTATTTGGAAAAAGCTACCCATGTCCCGGTTGGTACGTGCCCCTCACGACACCCACGTTACGATATAGGGTAGTGCTTCAGCAACAATACAACAATACCAATTGGTATTGTTGATCGAAGCACGGTCTAACAAGAAGAAGCCATGATGTAATACATATTACTGATGATAATATTTAATCGTGATTTTTAGTGTATTTTATGAAATACAAAATAATAATTTTAGTAAGTAAAATTGCAATCTTTATACATCCAGTCATTGAGCTCAGGCCTCTTCTCTTAACTGAGATGTTTTTGGAGCCATTAGTACCAGGGTAAAATAGCAGCTTAATGATATTTCGTATGATAAGTGTAGTAAACATTACATTTTTGACTGGAAACGAGGCATTCCATCTTAGTCTTCAGGAGTGACAACGCATGAGTATTTTGATTCTTGATCGACGATAATATAGGGCACAGCGTCTACTTACCATCGGATAGACTGTGCGCTCGTTTGTCATCCTTCTCCTATTCTATAAAAAAAGTTTAGTCCATTGCGATGCTCCTGTGCGACCACGATTGTCCTCGTAATATTACGTCCGTAAGAAATGTAAGTTTTCTCGCGATGTTCTTTCTTGTTTTCTTCGATGTTCTTGATGTTCAACGTTGGGCACGTGGTATATCTTTACAATTTAAAATTACATGCATGCCGGCAGGGATTGAATCCGAACCGACTGCGTTCTGCGAACTAATTAACAATGAACTTTTGAACCCTGCGCTACCAGCTATAACGTTATAGTTAAACTGTCTATAGTATTGTCTTTTATAAGTTTCTACTAATATATTTGTATGTTGCTGATTTGAGTAAGATGTTTCTTTCTTTCATTATGGGCACTAGTTTTTGTTCCTACTCTTTTCTAAGAAATAGAAGAATTGCAAAAGGTTTAAGTTGTAATAATCTCAAAAGTGTTTGTAATTCAGTTCGAAAAATTAATAAAGCAATCAATAATAAGATATTGTTATTATGTTCAAAATTTACAATATTAAAAGAAAACTATAAGCTATAATTATTATAAAATCCTACTATATGCGGTAAAGTGCCAAAACCGCTGGCGGCATTTTGATTTTAAATCGCTGATATCTGTTATACATTATACACCTATGTGGACTAAATGCTCGCTTGACAAACTCCACTGCTGTTGCGGCGGAAATCTCACCGACTCGTGCGAGAGCCCAATACACGAGCTCGTCTTGACTTGTTTGAAGGATCCTTTAGCACCCCGCGGCATGCCATGATTGCATGCTACAAATTGTTAGGGTTAACTCTATATTGACAGTGATTTTAATAGGTATTAAAGAAAAAAAATCAGAACAAATAAAGCTAACTACGTTCTGTTATAAGGAGACAGGTTGATTGGTTTAAAAAAAATTATTTAAAACATTGAAATTTCATGAAAGTATAAATGAATTGTATATTATAATTTGGTCAGAATTAAATTGAGGTCCATAGACAACCGAGCAGGTTTGAAGATGGAAACAGACTACCGTGGCCAAACTGCTCCACTGCAATACTCACTGAACTTAAGGCTAAGTCAACATTATTAAGGGGTAGTGAAGCACTAAGGCTAACAAATAAAGGGTATAACAGTTCGATAGTGTACTACTTCGAAGAAATATGGCTTACTACGATCATACCATTACAGTGTATCGAAAGTCTACTGTTGAGCGGAGGTTACCTCTATAGATTACTTCAAGGGACGAGATATTTTCCATATTTGCTACGCTTGGCCAGCGGGTAGACAATAGCAGTTCTTCACGAAGATACTGTTGCCCACTCCTGGTTTAGTTTCCCCCAACTAACGTGATAATATAGGGGAGTAGATATTATACGACCACCTCTACACGGCACTGCGATATGGTTTATTTAAATTGCGCATCAGTGGCGTTGTTGAAACTATCGGCCGTTGTATGCAGCACGTGTCGCAAGGGGCGACTGCGGGAAATGTTAGATAGATATAATAGAAATACATCCAACCCGTTTACGTTAGATGTAACATATCCAGGGGAGCAGTGTTAAAGCATAGGGATTATGGCGTATCTTTCTTACAAAAGGCTCGTATGAGGCGTACCCAATGAGGTACTCATTGTAGGATTGTGTATGACGGCGTTCGCATAAGGATTATGGCAAATCGGTTAAAGAGAGATGTACCATTGTATTATTGTGTATAACGGCGTTTGTTGTATATTTATATATTTATACTATCGATAACTATAAAGTGTTTAATACATTGACGATTAAGGAGTGTCATCTTGATTTCAAAGGAAAAAGATGTTGTACCGCCATTTCCAACGGGTGAATTGCGGTGCCTTAATGGTCTTATGTTGTACGCCATATTGTCAACACTTTTTTCCTTCTTTGCTTACGTAATTGACTCTTTATAAAGCAGGTTGTACTTTTGCCAATGTGAATCAAAGAAATTGTCATAATAAGTGTGTATATTTATTATATAACTCCGGTATTGCGGTTTTCATAGGCGGTAGTAGTCACTTATCCCCCAGATGAACCGCAAGCTCGTTTGCCCCTCCTATGTACAAAAAAAAAGTAGACGCCAAAGTTTATTGTTTACGGGTTAATATGTTCTTGTTGACTTTAAAAATCTCATAAATACAGCTAAGTAATATCAAATATTACTGGCTCTGGTTTAACGGTAGTAATAGGTTTATTTTAAAACTTCCGAAAATTCTTACAGCTGCTTTCTCAACTGGGTGAAATGTTATGCCGCAATGGCTTTGTAGTTAGTAGTTTGTCCACTATATAAAATGGCTTTACGGCAGTTATAAACCTAAACTTCAATAAATCAGATAAAATAAGAAATAAAAAAGCCCTGGCTCGGTTTGTTACAGGTGTGGGTGCTGCTGACACAGCACACACATACGTCGCCCGTGTCAATGTAAATGTAATTCGTATGAAATACGATAACAACAGCCGCCAGCGGGACGGCATTCTGTAAGTCGGTTAGCTAGAGTACAGTAGGCAGTTCCTTTCTAAGTGTATCATGTGAATACGCAACTCCGATGTAGAAAATAGATCAACTACAACGTATGTGAACATTTACTTCATTTTCCTCCCTACAAAAGCCCCTAAGATACACTAGCCACCTAAACATTCACAACATTAGTGACCCCGTGTTAGGACTTGGGTAGGGGCGGAATTGATACATGCCGCAAAACCGGCAAAATACCACGCTACGATGGCTCAACCAGCGCCAATCCCGCCGCTGCCCACACCATCATTTCCACCGGGCGAAATAGCCACCATCGGCCTGGCGTCGCGTATCCCACCATTTTGGACCGACATGCCTAAAATGTGCTTTCTACGCTTCGAGTCAGTAATGGGAGCATAACACCAAGGGGACAGGTCAAGTACGATATGGTGGTGAGCAAGCTGGGCAAGGAGGAGCTCAGCCAAGTAAGTGATCTCATAAGTAATCCACCGGACGAAGGATGATACACCGCACTGAAAGCCAGGCTCCTCAGAGTTTTTCAAGCCAGCGCTGAGGCCCAGTTTAACAAATTCGTGTCGGGAATGGAATTAGGGCAGCAGCGACCATCTCAGCTGCTGGCCAAGATGAATGAGCTCGCGAAGAACTCGGGCGCCGAAGGTGACAGGCTTAAGAATTTGTGGCTAGCGCGACTGACGGCATGGGTACGCGCAATCTCGAGCAACAACAGAGCAGACACGAAACTTGAGGACCTCGCCGAGATGGCCGACAAGGTGATTGACAATCTACGCAATGGGGAGCTGTTGGCCGTGGACGCCGGCTCTGCCCGCAGCTTGTCGTCGAACCCAACCGTAGCAGAGGTGAACGTCGAGCTGCTAACCCAAATGAAAACCATGGCACTGGAGCTCAAGAAGCTGCGCAGTGAGGTAAACGCCATCAACAACCGCCGTCATAGTAATGGTGGTAGGCGATGGGTGCGTAACCGTTCCCGTTCCAGGTACCGTACACCGCAACGAACGACACGCAGTGAAGACTGGTTGTGCCGGTACCATTTCCGGTACCGCGAGGCGTCACGACGATGTGAGTCTCCTTGCAATTGAAAGAAGAATAACAACGCCAACAAGCCGGAAAACTAAAGAGGGTGCAGCCTGATGCGGTGGTAGCATGCATCAACTTACACAGACAGAAAACCATCGCTTGTGCGTCACGGACACTAAAAATGGTATGATTTTTTTTATAGATATTGGTGCAAATGTTTAGGTGACGTACCGGTGACTAAAACTAACCAAAAATATCGGAATCAGGCCAAAAGTAATTATAAATTATTTGCAGCAAATGGCACAAAAATAAATACATAGGGTGTCGTAACATTAGAGTTTTAGGGGTACGACGCAGTTTTAAATGGCCGTTCATTATTTGTGACGTAAATAAACCAATAATAGGCGCTGATTTTTTAAAAACACACCGATTATTAGTAGACTTACATAAGAGGAAATTAGTAGATAATGTAACTAATTTATGTACGATAGGAACCATCGTAAGCTATTGAGCCGAGTGAGCCGACGATAAATAGCATTCAGAAATCGCATTCGTTTCGTTACTTATTGGAGGAATTTTCTGATATTACAAAGTCCGTCTCATTTAAAGAAACAACGCTGATTCACCAAGTTAGGCATCACATAGATACCACAGGACCGCCGGTCTATGCCAAGCCGCAACCTTTTCCACCGGGAAAGTACCAAAAGGTTAGGGATGAATTTCGTCATATGCAGGAATTAGGTATTTGCAGACCATCCAGGAGCCGGTGGGCCAGCCCTCTACACGTCGTGCAAAAGAATAAATGTGAGGTCTCTTTATAGGGAATCTAGTGCTTGTGTGCTAGTGCCAGGATCAACTGGATCAACTCTGACCGGTTTGGCATCCATAAAGGTGTCAAAGAGGGCTGTGTAGGCTTGGCTGTTCAACCCATTTATGGACAGTTGTTTGCAAACTTTGAAAGATGAAGAATGTGGGTTAAGAATGGGCGAGTTAACCGTCAAATGCCTTCTGTACGCCGATAATCAAGTCATATTTGCGTCGTCGGCGGCTGAGTTGTAAATGGTAGTTATATTAATGAACTGGACGCTAAAAGAAGGGGGATTGAAAGTGAATGCAAGTAAGATAAAAATGATGGTTTTTGAAATAAAAGAAAGCAAAACGTTATGTGAAATAAGAATAGAAGGAGAGTTGATTAAGTAGGTGGATGAGTTCGCGTATTTGGGATGTGTATTTAGCAGGGATGGTAGATACGATAAGGATATAGAACGACGAGTAAATGCAGGAAATAGAGTGAATGGGGCACTGCACTCTATTATGAAGAATCAGAATTTGTCAAAAAAAGGCACGTAAATTAAAGTAGGGATTAACACAGCATTATGAATTACCAATACATAATGCTGTGTTACTCCCTACTTTAATATATGGTAGTGAAAGTTGGGTGTGGCAGAAGAAGCACGAAAGTTGAATAAATGCTGTAGAAATACGGTCTTTGAGGAGTATTCTAGGGTGGAATCTGAGGGTGAAAAATTGCGTGATAAGAGAAAAATGTGATATGCAAGTTGATGTTGTGACTATGATTAAGAAACGAATGCTTCGATGGTTTGGTCATGTAAAAAGAATGAATGAGGAAAGAGTGACAAAGCAAATTTATATGGCAGAAGTGAACGGCAGAGCCGGGAAGCGACGCCCTGGAAGAAAGTTTATCGACCAAATTGGCGATATTTTGAAAATGGGCCACATTAAAAGTACCCTTAACTGACGAGCATGTATGCATAGATATATGGATGTAAAGGAGGCGAAAGAGGAATGTCAGTATCGTGCCAAATGGAAGTCCATAGTCTGTGCCTACCCCTCTCGGTGACAGAAGTGAGTGTTTATGTTATAGCTTGTAAAAAGAGAAAATAAAATGCAATAAATATCAACTCATGTACGCAGACAGCAGTAGAAAAAATCGATGTTCAGCAGACAATCGTATCTGTGTATTTTTTACGTGTTTGTAAGAAATATTCAATTAAATAACCTTATCTTAAGGATTTTAAACCGGAATATTTTATAAAAAGTCGATAGATTCGATTGTAATGGATGTGTCACGCAAAGTATTATAAATAAAGTTGAAAAGAAAAGGATCTCAAAGGTTCTTTAACAACCAATTTCTTTTTATAATATTTTACTTTCACAATAATAATGTCTTTATATATAACTCGAACAGAACAAAACGTTTTTTGTAAAATACTACGTTGACAAAGTTCATTCAAATAAAAGAAATAATTTCCTAAGTATATTCTTATTCTGTTCAAAGGATCTGTTTTCACAATATATAAGTAGCTTAATGTTCAAAGTAGCTGACGTTCAATGGTCAACTTAAGATACGAAATGATATTTCATGCACGTTACCATCTCTGAGGTTATAACCTTAAAGAAAATGCGGGCAACATCATATTTAGAGAATAGATATTAGAGAACATTTCTGTCGCGCTGTGCTTAGAACCTTGTAACACGAAAATTTTCGTGTACCTCATTTTAGCATATTTATGTTAATACATTCGATGAACGGACATCAGTGCGCCATCTAACGCCATTAGTCCGAAGTAACTAGAAACGTATATTGACGAATCGAGCTAGCTAATTGCATGCAATTGACCTTTCGTGTTAGTTCGAAATCATACCACGGATCGACGGTGGCGCGTAGCCCAAGGGAGGCCTAGTTTTTTTGGGGAGCGAGCCGTTGTAATGATCGGACCAGCACACATATAATTTTTGAATCGAAACGCCGGAACATGAATTTAAAGTGACGAGTACTTGGGCGTACGGCCCCTTAAACACAATGACTACAGGCAGTTTAATGTGTTGAAACACATCATCCCATAAATTGGATCCTTAGTCCTTACTTTGGGTATGGTCCATTATCAAGTTTAACTATGTGAACGAGGCGAGGCAGCTTCAACTGGTGGCTATATTGGGACTGGGCGGCCTGGAGACCGCGACCGGAGTACACCTGGAGGACATCTGTTATCTCACTGCTTCGGGTTATTGACCATAAACAGTGTAATATTGTGTAATCCACCAGATTAGTCAAAAACCTCAGTTCCCAGGGTATTTTAAAGTGACAACTTGATATTTGGAGATATCCGTATGAACTTTAGAAGGAAATAAACTACCTTTTGTTTGTATATGTATCTTTGAATTTTCATTTACTAATCATCCAACCACAGGCGCCCTGGGATATGTATGAACGAGGCATTTGTAACTATCTCCAGTAACCAGAACTTTGAGTGCAATAGCAAATCGGGCTTGAATCGGAATGCACTGTCTCATGCTTGTATTAATTTTTGAGATATGAGGGGCTACCTTATTTAGAAGGAATGGAAAATCAACTTGAGATATTCTGCAGATTTTTCGAATGTTCTGCTAGGTTCCCATACAAAATCACGCAACATATCATTTGCATTATATCTGCAAGTAATAAAGAAATATATGTTTCTGTTGCTGGAAAATAAAAATGTTGGACAACAATGATTGATTTCAAAATTGAATGTTTATATTTATCTTGAATATTAAATTTTATAGTTGGTTTATTATTTAAAATATTAAATATTATTGTTTTGATATTAATAAATTTGACCACCAGCCGACAATCTCGCTAAATGCGCAAATGTTAAAAATAATTTTAACAAGATTATGCTGCAACCAAAAAACGTAACTTTTAACAGAGATCAGAGCATCCAAACTAGCGACACGGGCCCCTGCAAACATCGGGGACGCACTACAGTATCGTGGGTGACGGAACACGCGGAACGCATCATTATACTGCACACTTAAGGTCTTAGCCCACTTACACGACTCTGCTCCAACACCGCTCCTACCCAATACCGCCCTGAACCAAGGCGACAGCTAGCTGGCACACAGCAGTCCACGCGGCGACAGCTAGCAGGCACCCAGCTGTCCACGCGCCGACCGCTTTCGCTTTTCGCGATAGATACAGATCGTGGTCAGTTTCCATTGAAACAACTCGTATTTTTGCTATGCCTCGATTCACAACGCGCGAACTAGCGATTATTACTATTGGACTTGACGATAAAGATTGAAGCTCAAAAAACAGCAGACGAAGATTTTAGGTGCATAAAATGCGGCCGAACGGCAGGCGCGGCGCGGCGACCGCCAGCAGTCAGCGCTGGAGGTGGGAAAAGTGTATCATTTTTGCCATTGGAACATTTTCATCTCGTTCACCGAAATGTCCCGAAACACCGATATGTTTCATTTGGACATTTGGATCATCGACTCAAAAGATATAAAATACAGAATGTTACGAATACCTACATTAAGTTGCGACGCGGGCGTTTATTACTGACTGATTCAGTGAAATGTTATGTGGCAACAATGATATAAGTGCTTAGGTTATTTTATTATACATTATTATAGTTATTGTGTACCGTAATAAGGTTGTATATAAAATCGATCATCCTATATATTTTACCCAGGCTTAGGACTAACGGCTAGTTCTTAATTTATGGCCAGCTGGCGTATTATTTATGATGAAAAGGAAGAAAGTAAGTTACAATAATCCCTATGCAAAGAAATCCTAAACAGAAATCAGTATGTTTCCGTAAACAGGCGCAAACGAACATAAACAATTTAACAAGTGCCGGATCAACGTAAAATGACAATTTTTTAATGTAAACATTAGATGCAAAAGACGACCGTACTGTATTTGATACGTAAGCGCCTTAGTGGTCATTTTTACGTGCATGAATAACTATAGCGAATATACGAGTTGAGTGACACACTTCTCATTTGTTATCTCTTTCTGTCTTGTATAGATTGTAATTCAACATAAAACACTCTCTCGCTCGTGGCTCAGTCGCCTTGCGAGCGAGACGCGTCGCGCTAAATGAGCACAGAGCAAAGTAATATTCCAGATCCAGATCCAAATGATGCATTTGAAACGTTGTTACTGAACCAATCTTTTGAATCACTTCAGTGATTCGAATCAGTGAGTCAGTTCCGTAAATAGTTACGTGTGAACGCCGCGCAGAGCGCTTGCTTGCAACGCGAGGCGTCGACTACCGAGCAGTCCTGTCAGCGGTTAGCTCGCTGTCAGCGAGCTGTCTGCTAATTTATGTTGCCAATGTAAAATATATCTAAACGTAACGTAAAGTATTCACCGTCGTAAAACCATTGACTTATATATTACTAGCGTAAGGACCGGGCCGACCGAACAACTAAAACGGACCAGTGCGTTGGCCCTAAAAATACAGTTTAAGGCCAACGCGAATCGGTCGACAGTGGTGTGCGCGCATGACAATATGTCTAGTTGTGCGGTAAAAGAATGCAAAAATTACGATACAAAGATTTAAAAAAAACATGGGATATCGTATCACTGGTAAATAAACTTATATTAATTTTGTTACAATTAAATTATTATATAAACGCATTTCTTAAGTTTTATTTTACAGTTAGTGTAGTTACGTTACCAAGATTAGGCCAGGGTTGGATTCAGATCTGTCTCAATCTGATTATAAAATACTTCGAAATTCTGTTTTCAAACCGATTGCTTCTGGAGCATAGAGTTTTTATCGTGGTAGCCCCTCATTATAGTTGTATCAAGGATGCAACATAAATACATCGACAAGCATGGATTGTCCAGAAAGGGAGCTAATTCTAATTTTGTTAAAAAACGCGGTACTCATGTACAATACAGAATTTTTTGAAATCGTAGGGTTAGTATTAAAATGTAAATGGACCCAATAATAATACAAGTCGACCTTTAGGCAAAATTATGGTATTTTCGCTTAGTATTATTACGATACTAAGCGAAAATACCATAATTTTGCCTATGTACTGCAAACTATGAAATAATGGTACAATTAGGGTAATTATACTATGAAATCCGACCTTGGTTACGTCGTGTTTTGATATGACGTTTGTATTATGACAGATGCGCTACTTTTGCTGTATGAAAAAGTATGTAAAATATTTCGATGGCACTTAATCATTGCGTAAAACAAACTATATAATGTATTGTTCCGTAGGCACATAACTTACCTACATATTTATAAAAATTTCGCTAAAAATGAACATAAACTCAACAAAAATATAGCGAAACTCAACAAAACAATGAAAAGAACCCGCAGCGGGACAAGAAGCACATCCGAGCATAGCCGATTAACACATGACAGCGCGATGCACAGATATTGGGCATTCATAGACATTTCAAATATAAAATAAACACTAACGTCATTTTCCATAGAATGAATATTAATTTTTTTTACTTTTTTTGGCGATAACTCGATTTTACTTCTAATTAAAGTTAAAGTTATAGCCTATATACGTCCCACTGCTGGGCACAGGCTTCACCTCATTTGTGAGAGGGTTTTAGGGCAAAAAAGTGTCCGCCGCGCTGCCCCAATGCTGTTGGCGAACTTCACATGTCTTCGAAAATATTTTTTTTCTTATTCCTCAGACATGCAGGTTTCCTCGCGATGTTTTCCTTCACCGCTGAGCACGTGGTAAATCAGCATTTAAAATTGCAATTAACAATTATAGACAAACCGAACGGACGGAGAATTTCCCGCACCGCTCGTGTTCTAGAAGCGAACTGGCAACGTTTTAAAGTGAATGGACATTATTTCTAAATAACAAATATCAACCGCTTGCGAGTTGCGATTTACGACGTATTACTTATAATTATACCTAGATAAATATATTTTTTATAGGATAGGGTGACAAACGAGCACACAGTCCACCTGATGGTAAGTGATTGCTGTGCCCATAGACACCAACATCTATCCTCGAATACGAATCAAAATGCAGATGTGTTGTCACCCGTGAGGACTAAGATGGAATACTTCGTTTCCAGTAAAAAGACCCCCTGATTCTCTACACTCATCACACAAAACACAGCAGTATTAAGCTACTCTTTTATGCTGGTATTCTGTGAGAGCATGGTCATTCCCCGGTCTAGTCGACCCATTCGTGCTACATGTATACAACTAATGTAACTGCAGCATGGCTCTACCACGTATAAAAAACATACATTTATATACGGATTACGTATATTTATTTATTTTTTCAAGTTGAATCTAACTACACTTAGTTACAAATATTAGAAATGGGTCGTAAAAAAATTAATAAATTTTATAGATATTTTAATCTTGACAGCCATTTTATTAAAAAAAATTGTATTTACATACCTATATGTATACAGGGTCTCCTAGAAAACAGGACACCAACCTACTTTCGAGGTTATTTGTGCTTTAAATATGAACAGTTTTTTCTGAGAAAAAACTGTTCATATTTAGCAAAATTCGAGCAAAATAAAATCGCTTGTTCCATTAAATTTTTAATGTTGATGGAAACAGCTGTATTTTTTAACTCTGAGACAGTAGGTTCCTCAGTAAAATTTGTTCATTTTGATGAGTACAATCAAATCTCAAGACAAATCAAGTTAAATAATAGAATTATTTATTATCTTATACTTACTTACACCATGTTTTTTCCCCACATCGAATACGCGAAAGAAAAACAGTGTTCCATACATTTATGTTTTCTAAACTCGGCCAAATGTATGAAACAGTAAATATTTTTTAACGATTTCAAGATTGGTCCTATACTAAAAATTGGTTAGATTATTTTCTGTCTTATTTGTTGTTGCCTATACTAATCTGTAGTTTATAAATTTTAATAAAGCTCTACTCTGTTCGTACAGAACAATAAATGTCGCAAATAAACACAATTTTAAGAAAAAATTACTTTGTTTAAATATTTAAACCGACTTCAAAAAATAACTTAAGATTATTAAATTAAGTAACAAAACGAAATCAAAAGTGCAAACTGGGCCAACAAATTAAGACTTTACTATTTTTTTTGCAAAGCAAGGCAAATTTATTTCGATACGTATAAAAACATGACAACTGATGTACCTGCCTATATTTTAATTATAACTAATTAGAGTTCATACCTTGTCATATTTACTCATTAGATAGGTATTCGTATCTGAAAGCATTATACTTTCTTAGATTTACGTAAGTATTAAACATATTAAATAAAACTATCTTTTCGGATTTTCTCGCCAACGTATTTAGATTTTTGGTTCGAATGCTTTACAGATATAATGGTCACGGGAGTGATTAAAGTCTCTCTCAAAGGTACTATAAAGTTGCTGCAGACAGTGCCTACCTATAAAATAACAAAATAAATTAAAAAATTCAAAAATGTCACCAAACACTATACGATATTTGTTAACTTTAATTCGATTTTTTTT